AGCAACTATGACGAAAACACTAAGCAAGCCTGTATCTGACACATTAAAGGAAATGATTGTAGAAAGGGGGTTGTGCTTGCTGTTAATCATTGAATTGGTGCAGAGGCTGGTATCTGCTCAGTGGACTCAGCAAGAGACAATGAGAGCACAAACGTAAAAAGAAATAACACCTAGCAGAGGGGAAAGGATCGGGGGGAAAACACATTTTTCCTTATTTTAGTGACGTGTGTTCACCTGTCACGCACGCTGACAGTATCAAAGAATAGCTGGAAGACTTCGTGGTGATTCTTATCAGTGAAGATGTTCGCTGTTCATCTCATTTCCTTCTTTTTCTCCAAACTCCAGGAGGACCCCACAAAGAAGGTGAGTGCTACACACACAAACACAACACTGTTTCAAGTCTGTTTCAAACAGTGCATATAATGAATACACCCCTGGTAATGAGGGGGCTTGAAGCTCTAGTTATTTAAAGTCTTCTCAGTTATGAAAGTGTAAGCTGCTAATGCACTGAATTTATGCTCTTGATTGGAAATCATATTTTAAATGCAACTCTACTCGCTACATTAATCATCAAAGATATATTTGCCACCAATGACAAACTTACTGTTCTAATGTGTTGTTTCCTGATTTACTTCTTAGGCAGTTCTATCAGGATTTATCCAGAAAGAGAAAGTGATTAAAAGAGGGACAAATCTCTGATGATTTCTTTGAGGATTTGCAGAAATGCACGTGACTAAAATTAAGTCAAGGAGACATGGCAGAAGTCAGTACAGTAATATAAATGATCAAGGTGAAATGTGGGATCATTAGTCACTGCGTCACCTTTTATCTTTATCTGAACAATCATTAACAACTTTCCCTGGCAGTGTCGCTGCTCCTCTTAGTCCACATTGGATCGCACATTTTCACCTGGGACAAAGTATGGACACTCCTACAATCACACTGTCCTCGCTCACGCTACACTCACACTCTGGCTCTTATATCGTAAAACCTCAGGGTGTTGTCCTATGAGCACATGCTCCAGGGCGACGGTTCAGCTGTGAATACAGCACACGGGGTGTGGCTGATGATCTTCAGCTTTTTTGTTTTATACTACTTCCTAACTCATTTTCAGAGACAGTTTGGCATGTTGAGTTACTGTTACAACATCACTGAGTTTCAAATTCAGATTATTAACCCCAAAATTCAAAATATATGTGAAAAGACATCACAGATACATGAAAAAATCCTTCATATCTGAAATATAAGAAAAAAGTTGTTTTTTTAAACTTGTTCTCTGTTGATCAGATGTTCAAATTGATTCTGGTGAATTTTGATATGTAATATCATAAAACTGTGATGAGGCATGTAACAGTAACAGAGGATATAAAAAGAAAAGTAACTGAATGAGAGAAGCAAAACTAGTCTGACACCTGATAAGAAAGTCCACAAAATACAAACGAGAGAGAGAGAAATATAAATTTTTCTGTCTTTCATCCCTTCTTGTTCGAGTGAAAATCCAGCGGTACATCTCACTTTGTTTTGCTCTCTGTGTTCTGTGTCTCTTTCAGGTCGACAGGTTTCTGCATGCAATGCGCCTCTATGATGACCAGTTAATTGATATCTCAGCTCGTTTCCAGGCTGAAATGAAGAAGGGGCTCTCAGCTGAAAGTTCGGCCGCCGCAGCTGTAAAAATGCTGCCGACACATGTCCGCTCCACTCCTGATGGCTCAGGTTACTCGTGTTAATGTCCCTTTTATTAGGGCTGCTGGGCAGATCGTTAAAAAAAAAAGAAAGAAGAAGAAGCAGCAAGAGATTAAATAACTTCCTTCTCTTTCAACCACTCTTGCAGAGAAGGGACAGTTTCTGGCACTGGATCTTGGAGGCTCCAAGTTTAAGGTGCTCCAGGTTAAGGTGAGAGAGGGGATGGGGGTCAGGAAGGGAGGAGTGGAGATGGAGGAGAAGATCTACCCTATGTCAAAGGAACTGCTCAATGGGAGAGCACCAGAGGTAAGACTAAAAAGATCTGAAAGTAGATTTGAGGAGAATTCAACAAGCAAGAAGAAGAGATTTGAACTTCTCCCGCTTCATTGTCTTTGTGTATGTAGTTATTTGACCATGTGTCAGAATCTCTGAAGGACTTTCTTCATGTAAAGAACATCAGCCTGGATAAGAAACATCCTCTGGCATTCACTTTTTCCTTCCCCTGCGAACAAACCCGCTTGGATAAGGTATGACTCTCTTCATCGAGACATCTGGTTTTTCATGAGCTGTACCTGTAGTGTGTTATACTCCACATGCTGACATCTGTCTGTCTTTTTAGATTTAGATCCCATAATCCTTCGAACCACCTTTTTCCTCTTGCAGGGATTACTGTTGAGCTGGAGTAAGAACTGCCGGGCTCGAGGCCTTCAGGGGAAAGATGTGGTCCAGGCTCTCAGAGAGGCTATTGACAGAACTGGGGTGGGTTGCCAGTGTTTGCTTCCATAATTTACCCATAAACTATTTGCAGAAAACGAGACATGATGAGAAATATAATGTAAGATGAAGAGGAAAAATAAAGAGTTGAACCCATCTGATACCCACTATGTAAACTGAACAGTATAACCTGGTTTATCTCTTTAATAACGCCCTCTGCAGGGAATGGACATAGAAGTGTTAGCGATGGTTAATGATACTGTGGCGACAATGATGACCTGTGGTTTTGATGATCAGTACTGCGATGTAGGACTCATCATTGGTAAGTAGATTCACATAATTCAACTAGTCTCTTGTGTCCTTTTACAGAAACTATTGTTTTGTATGAGTGTGACATGTACATGAGTAGCCATCACTCTAAACTTCTTTTATAGTTCATTTGAATAAGCATAAAGCATAAAGTTATCCAGTGTTCAGTAAAACAAAGCAAATGTTCTGCATTAAAACTAGAAAAAACTTGAAACCAAAATTCTGTACTATAAATTAGGTTTTATTCTGGTTTCTTTTTTATCTAGTGAGCCTTTGGAGCTCTTAGGATTGATGCATAATTATCTAAACATAGCTAATAGATATTATCTAATCATCGATAACTGCATATTAGTGACAGGAAATAGTGCTGACTGTAAATGCAAAAGGCATCAATAACTCTGATTCTGCAAATCTACTCCAAACTTTGTGTTTTAACTTTTGCAAAACACATGTTTAACTATTTTTAGATTAATTCTTATTTATGTTTTTTGTGCAAACACGTGGAAACAATGACAATATTTTGCAAGAGAAGACAAAGCACAATTACTAATAGTCATCTTGCTCCCTCTGGTGGTTTGCTGTGCATGTGTGGATATTGAATTCGATGTGAAGTATAGACATATAGAACCATTAACGTATCCTGTTTATTGTAGTAATCTTAATGGAATAAGTCTATGTGTCCTGTGTGTTTGGGTGCTTACAGGCACAGGCACCAACGCGTGTTACATGGAGGAGCTGCGTCATGTTGACCTGGTGGAGGGCGACGAGGGCAGGATGTGTGTGAACACTGAGTGGGGAGGCTTTGGGGACGATGGGGCCCTGAATGATTACATAACAGAGTTTGATCAGGATGTTGATGCAACCTCTATCAATCCTGGAAAACAAATGTAAGGAAAGCAGCTTTGTCTTTTCTTTTGATATAAAATAGTGTGTCCATTAAGACGTCCTTCATTTCTTTATGACTTCC